TCACTGACCACCAGGTCCCCGCCCACACGAAGAGCTGTCCGTAACACAGCGCCCGTGGGGCTCCGATCAACAGGGGAGAGCTGGTACGACCATTCGCATCTTCCAGATGAGGAAATGAGGTTCCGGGAAAGTCGCCAGCCCAGGGTCGCTGCCTGGACCGACCCCAGCAGCAACGCCAGGCAGGACCAGACGTGTTGGCAAAGCCACCACTTTACCGCCCTACTTAGGAGGCTCACAGCGAGGAGACGAGGCTGTCCTTCCACGGTGACTTTTATCCACAATCTCTGGGACCAAGACACCAGAAGAAAGCCACAAAAACCCTGCAGCCTCACCAGGATCCTCCGTCCAAAAGTGCCAACCAGACTCCACGCTAAGGCATCCGGGGAAGACCCAGCACACCCCAGCCGCCCACTCGGCCTTCCCCAGCTCCTTCCCTTCCTGGGCCCTGTGCATCTTTGAGAAGGATTCCCACGCCATCAGGGAGGGAGCAGGGCCCCGGTCTCAGCAGCAAGCCCCGCCAGCTCACGCTCTCCACACCAGGCGGCTTGGCCTTTAGCTCCCATCTCAGGCCCTTAGCTCAAACCTTCCCTGACGGGACTGGTTTGAGCAGAAACCTAATACCTTTAATGCGACCATTCGGGAAAATACCAGGGACTGGGGCCAAAAAAAAAAAACAAAAAACTTCCGGAACCAACTTTCTGGATCCCTCAGCTCCTGCTGGAGCTTGCTGGATGGGTGTGCAAGAAAGGGGACAAATTACTAGTAAAAGCGATAAGACCCGTATGTTTGCTTCCTGGCCGAGGCAGCATAACACTACCGCGCCCTGGGCCGTCATGTCCTCGTTCTATCCCTGCAGAAACGAAAGCTCAAAGAGTCCAAGTACCCGCAGAGTGCGATCCACACTGTGTCTAACCGACAGGAAGCCCCTCTCCCCACCGCCCACCCCCTCCATCCCCGTGCTCTGGATGGATGAGAGAAGGCTGGCTGCACCCGGGGTCCCGCAGCCCTCCAGCGTCTCCAGGGGTCCACCTGCCTGCCGCGGGCCGGGAAGCAGAGGGAGCCCAGCCGGCATGAGCTGCCCCTCCCAGCGCTCCTCCCAGGGTCAGGAAACACCTTCTGGAATTTCATGCACCCCAAAACATCAGCTCCTCTCCACACCTGCCCCGAAGGGAAAAGGGGAAGCCCAGGGGCCAGGGGGCGGGTGGAGGACCCTGCTGGTTCTCGAAACAGGAAGAATATGCCAGCGCATCAGCCCAACTCCGCATGGTGGCTTCCTGGGAAGAGGGGTGATCACTCCCCTACGACAGGGGGCTTCTGCTGCAGCCAAGCTCACGTTGCACGTGACCCGCTCCTCACCCACACGGCAGAGGAAGGGCTCCGGGGTCACGGCCACACGGTGGGCCAGCACGGCCAGCTCCAGGGGCAGAGTTCAGAGCCTTCACTTTCCCACCCCTTTTTTCTATCGTGACCTGCACAACGGCTCATCTGGGTGACCCTCGGAAGGCAAAGGTCATGCAAGTCTCTCCGTCTGATCTCTGCCATAGTAAGTGTTTAATAAATTCTGGGTAAATTGAATGCTTAACGGGTGGATGGGTGGAAGGACCAAGGAATGAATGCCTTTTCGCTTCTCAAGGAATGACTCCCAATTTGAGAGACTTGGGAAGCTGAGAGGCAGCTGTTTAGAAAAAGAACACCACCACCCAGAACCCAGACAGGACCTGAATGCTATAAGCCTCCTTCAATAATAGCAAAGAAAAAAAAAAAGACCTGGAAATTTCTAAACCAGCCGAAGACTAACTAGCCAGCTATCCCATAAGGATCCTTTCTGCTCCTGAATCCTATGTAAGTGGAGGACGCCCAGGCAAAAAGTGCAAAAGAAACCTTAAATCCCTGCCCCCACCCACCCCCATGAGAGACCACAGCCACCCCCAAGCCCTTTCCCAGCCAGGCAAGAATCAGCCTCAGTGTCACGCTCAACACGGGCTCCAGGCAATTCCGGTCGGCAGAGACTGGACTCGCCCCTACTGATCGATCCTTCTGCCCGCGCCAGGCCGGTGGTGGCAGTCAGCGGACGGCAGAGCAAGCATCACATCTTCACGGTCTGACATCACTGAGCACCACCAGGTACACCTGGACTAGCCTGGGCCGTCCCCACTGGATGGGGCTCCCGGAGGGCAAAAGGCGAATCTGGCCCGTGGGAACCTGGGCGAGTGTCTGCTATCTCTGTGCCCGGAACCAACTCACACATGGTGACGGCCTTCCCAAGCCCATCCCAGGAAGTCACACCTGAGTGAGGGGCCCGACCTCCCTAGACCTGCTCCCTGTCCCGCAGTCCGGAGCCCCAGCTCTGCCTGCCCGTCCACAACTGCCCTGGGGAGGGGACAGTCCCAAAACGGGACCAGGGCAGGCAGCAGTGCAGCGGGGCGGGGCCAGGGTCTTGCTTACGTGCGTGCTTTCCAGGGGATCCTGTCCCCGGACGTCGCGGGGACGAGCCGAGCAAAGCAGGCTCTGGTCAGTGGCTCCCACATGGGGAGAAGCTCCTCTCGGCGCCCCAGCCTCTGCTGGCCCCACGTCAAACTCAGCTCGGGCTGCTGACCACGGGTTTACCGCACTCAGAAAACTAGGCAGGGAAGGGGGAGAGCAGCACACGGATGCTCAGCCAGATAGATGGACACAGGGAGGACGGCGGGAGGGCCAGGCTGGGCTCCGGAAGTCTGTGCGAATAAAACCATGCAGAGAATCTAAGAGAGGGGAAGCTGCCACCAACCTGTGCTGGTCACCAAACCTGGGGGCAGGGAGGGGCCAGGAGCAGCAGCACCGCCGTTTAATGAGCACCTACTACGGGCCGGGCACCATGCAGAGGGCTCACCGGCCCACGTGGTCCTTGGCAAACCAAGGTGGGTCAGAGTCACTGTGTCATCTGCCAATGTCGTCGGCCAGTAAGTGGACCCAGGTTGTGAACCAGGTCTGTCAGAGTCGATGTGAAGGGCAGGAACGGAACCAGGGCAGCCCTGCCCTTCCCAGAGCCTCGGGTCTCCCTGCAGGACGTGAGGCTGAGCCCAGGCCCTGCGGCTCCTGCGTTGCATTCCCGGCCCCCACAGTCTGTGACTCACAGTCCAAATCCCCTGCCCACTCCTGGCTTGCCCCGAGCGGCCCCTCTGCAGGCAGCTGGCACGCCCCGCCGGGGTCAAACCACCCCACTGGAACCGCTGACGACCATAAGGGATGCCCCCTTTCACAGTGTTTGGCCATGGTTGGCAGGTCATGTGACGAGAGTTGAATCCAAATTTATGTACGTCTTACATGACTGCACTCGGCTCAAGCAAAGTAATGAGCACCTACTACAGGCTGGGCACTCTGTGTGTCACAGCTGGCCAAGAAATGGGTTTGGCCAGGGTTTATCCTGTCTTTTCCTCTGTGCAATTATTTTAAATACCAGTTGTATGTCTGAGTGTTTATGCATGTGTCCGTGTGTGTGTGTGTGTGTGTGTGTGTGTTCCGAAGGCCGTTCCCCAAAGTCCAGAGCCACTGGCTTCTCCCCTGGCCAGGGCACTGCTGGCCACAAGGAGAAATAAGAACAGGAGAGAGGTTCTAAGCCATCGAAAAGCAAGACTGTGAAAACTGAGAAAAGCCCGCTTATGGGAAAGGACACCAGCACAGCTCCATGCAAGCTCCCAAGGCTCCTGCCCCAGCAGACACGCCCCCAGGCAGAGGGGAAGAAGACGGCCTCAGAGGCCTGGACAAGTGCCCTACAGCCAGAGGGACTTGGGTGAGTCATTTAAGAGAGGAAGAGAAACCTCTAAGAGCTGGGTGCTGACACTAAGAGACAGGCTCTTGAATGGGTCCTGGAATCTCATTTCTAGAGAATTTCAGAACTAAAGAAGAGGACCGTCAGGCCCAAGTGGCTTATGGGAAACTCCTAGTCATTGATGCTAATTTGACACTTTACAGCACTTCAAATAAGGGCTCTTCTTGGAACTGACTCCTCAGCGTTTGCAAGTGCAAATACAAAACTCCCCTCGCGTTTCATAAATCATGTATTCACAGAACTCATCCACAAACACCAGGTCCCTTACGATAATGGTCCTCGGATAAAGCAGGCAATAAATATCCTCTGATATTTCCCATCAGCAGGTGGAAATGGCCCCGGGTAGTCCTGTGCCGGCAGCAGAGGGAAGGGCCCTCCAAGAGCACGCAGGAACTCAGGAACAGCTGGGCCACAGGGCGGCAAAGAGCCAGGCCTGATTCAAGCCCTCGGCCCCCGATCCATCAACAAGGTATCACGTCCTGACCCCATCTTTTAAAATGAGGGACCTTGGAACTGTCGGCTTCCAGATGGAACGTGACACCCTGCTTTGACACTCTAAACACAGGCTCACCAGTAAGCCACAATGAGCCATACCCTCACCTGGCCTTTTGCACCTGCCCGGCCTCAGGTTCCCCTCACCTGTGCCAGCAGGACTCCCAGACAGCTGCCAGGGACACTTTCTGAGAACACGGGGAGACTTCCCGGGTTATCTGCCACGGACCTAGGGGATCACCTCCAGGGACCAGGGAGTTCAGATAATCCCCCCCCCGCCCCTTGCCCGACACCTGCTCAGAGCCAGACGGCCCTGCTTGTTTCAGCATAATCTTGACGGCTCCCTTCTCGGAGCACCACAGTAAAAGCCCTGCATCACCTCAGCCGACCCACGGAGCTGGCACCCTTTCTCCCACAAAGAATGGGAGACTCGGGGCCGGAAGTAAATGCTTAGGGTCGCTCAGCTAGAAAGGCAGGGCCAGGGCTGCATCCCCGGTACTGGCCTCGTCCAGGCCCGGCTTTCCCCCCATCCTCCTGGATTGAGGATGCCTGACTTCACCCTGAACAGCCTGAGAGGCGGGAGGGGCCGTCCCACTGCCCCAGCCCCCGATGCACCCCCTCCTGTTTGTAACACAGCCAGGCCTGCACCTGCCCACCGGGCTCTGCGCGGAGGGGCCCATCCCGGAAAGAGGCCACTCACCTTCCCAAAGTCTCGGACGTCGAAGAGGTCGAAGGGGTCAAACAGCTCGCTGTTCCTGAGTCCAAATTTGTCATGGCAGACTTTAAGGAAGGTGCGGATATTCTTCAAACACAGGAACTAGAGGAGAGAAGGGAAAATTACTCAACCTGCATGGTCTGAACGGGCAGTAATGCTAACAGCTGCAAACTCTGCCTCCGTGCGCTGACCTGGACCAGTGCTTCCCTGCTCAGAGAAGACACCACGGCCATCCCACTGGCCCTGGCCATTCCTGGCCATCTGCCCTGTGCCCCTGCCCAGGGATCCACACGTTTCAACTCCGACAATCACAGCTGGAACAAAATACGCTGGTTTTCAGTCAGCAGGCACAGAGCGGGCACTCACACAAGTGCACACTGCCTTCCCCACACAGACACAGTCCCCGTTACTTTACACATGACAGAGCCCTACAGCAGCCATGGGGACCCCTGGAGCAGCACATGCCAGACAGGCAGGGGCCCACTGGGAGCACAAAGGCCAGCATCAAAATCCCAGATCAGGGGCTTCCCTGGTGGCGCGGTGGTTGAGAGTCCGCCTGCCGATGCAGGGGACGCGGGTTCGTGCCCCGGTCCGATTCCATTTGTGGCTTTTAAGGACCTTATTGACCCAGTACGTCCAGTAGGTTGAGTCCAAGTAGTACATCTGAGACACAGATCACAAACATAACAAGTTCGTCATCAGGCTGGCTTTTGTGTTTGTTGTTGATTTGTTTTCTGATGATTCTGATCAGTTCTCCAAGAGGGATGCACTTTGGTTCCTTCTTTTGGGACCGTGATTGATTGTTTTCTTGCATTTTATTAGCAATACAGGCTCGAGTCATGCAGTACACTGCATATGCTCAAGACTCAGCAAAAATTTCCTTTATCACCTCATTTTTACTGATAAGGAACCTGAGCCACAGAGCAAGTAAGTAACTTTCCCTTGGTCACACAGCTGGCAAGCAATAGAGCCAGAGGTTGGTAGGTTTACTAGGTGCCTTACTCTTCATGGGACTCAATTTCCTGATGCCATTCTGCCCTGCAGGTGCTCACTGAGGCCCAGCCTCCCTAGTCAAGCAGACTGACTTTAGAATTGTTAAGAGTTGGTACATTTAACCAGTTTGATATACTGTTTCTATTGGGAAGAGAGAGAGAGAGAGGGAGAAGGAGGGAGGGAGGAAGGAAAGGAAAGAGAAAGAGAGAGAGAGAATGAAAGAGAGAGAATGAGAATATAGTGTGGTTAAGAGTATGGATTTTAGTGGGAAATAGATCGAGGTTAAAATCCCAGATCAAAAAAAAAAAAAAAAAAATCCCAGATCAGCATCCACAGTACCTCCTCGACCCAGTAACCCAGTATCTGAGCTCCCAGATTGAAGTGGGCTTGGCAACACAATAGGAGGCATGCGGTAAGGGGGCAAACAGGGTCGCCAGCTTCAGTCCCCATGGAAAAAGCTGGTAAAGACTTGGGGGCAGCAGACAAGGTGGCCTGGAGCACAGACCTTGGAGTCACAGGGCCCCGGGTTCGAATCCTGTCCAATGACTCTAGCGGGACCAGGGGAGAGTGGCTTTGGCTCCTAAGGCCTGGTTCCCTAACAGGACGTGCCTGGCTGGGTTAACTATCCACCCTGACGGCACAGACTGGGCATTAGGTAGGTGGGAGCCATCAGCCCACCCAGTCCAGCTCGGCGTGGGGGTCCACGAGGTGAGGACCACGGTGCACACAGCAGAACGCTAACCCAGGGTTCAGACCAGTTGTCCCCATGGTAACCACTCACTAAGGGTCTGATAGCTCAACTTCAAGAGACCTGCAGAGAGCCTGGACTCCTCACTGGAAATTCAGACGAACAGACAGATTTAGATGAAGGATGGGTCAGAATCAGAAGCTGCACAGGCCCAGCGTAAACCAAGATGTGCTGAGAACGCCCACAGGGCACACGGCGCCCCAGCAGAGATGCGAATCTCCCCACCCAGCTGCACCCAGCGGGCATCACCCCCCGGCTGGGGAGCACCCCCCTCATCGGGCCACTCCTCCCTCCTGGCTGGAGCTGGTCACTGGTCAGAGACGACCCCGGCTTACATGCTTGTAGTAATATTAACTATTCTCTATCTGTGTGTGTGGGTATCTGGATGTGTATCTCTCTACGTTTATCTTTGTGTATCAGGGTGTATCTATGTTTGTACCTCTGTGTATCTGTGTATATGTGTGTTTGTGTGGTTTGTATCTCTGTGTGTTTATCTGTGTATATCTGTGTTTGTGTGTTTCAGTGTGTATCTGTTTGTATCTCTGTGTGTTTATCTGTATATATCTGTGTGTTTGTGTGGTTCAGTGTGTATGTGTGTGTGTTTATCTGTGCGTATCAGGATGTATCTGTGTTTGTATCTCTGTATCTGTGTGTATCTGTGTGTTTGTGTGTATATGTGTGTGTGTCTCTGTATCAGTGTGTACCTGTTTATCTGCGTATGTCTGTGTGTGTGTGTGTGTGTTTTCTGAACACCTGAGAGTAAACTGCAGACGTGACGCCCTTTCCCCAAACATCTGAGCGTGTATTTCCTGAGAACAAGAACACCCCCTCCACAATCCCAGCCCCAATGTCAAAATCAGGCAATTAACTTAGGTCCCACACCTTACCTCAACTAGAGACAGCACTTACATTTCTTCAATAGATAAAGATAAAGGACAATCAAAACGTCCTGATAGAAAAAAAAATATTCTGGCCCAGCATCCAATCTCAGCCCACACACGATTTTAGTCATCACGTCCCTTTTGTCTCCATGAACCTAGAAGAGCGTTCTCCAACAGAACTTTCTGGAAGGATGGAAATGTCCTGTGTGCACCGTCCAGTTAGGGCAGCACCAGGCACAAGTGCCCGCTGAGCGCTTGAGATGTGGCCAGTCCAACTGAACAACTGTGCTTTTTTTTAATTTTTGTTTTTGTTTTTGTTTCTTGCGGTACGCGGGCCTCTCACTGTTGTGGCCTCTCCCGTTGCAGAGCACAGGCTCCGGACGCGCAGGCTCAGCGGCCATGGCTCACGGGCCCAGCCGCTCCGCAGCATGTGGGATCTTCCCGGACCGGGGCACGAACCCGTGTCCCCTGCATCGGCAGGCGGACTCTCAACCACCGCGCCACCAGGGAAGCCCTGCGCTTTTTTTTTTAAAAATAAATTTATTCATTATTTTTGGCTGCGTTGGGTCTTTGTTGCTGCGCGCAGGCTTTCTCTAGCTGCGGCGAGCAGGGGCTACTTTCATTGCGGTGCGCGGGCCCCTCATTGCGGTGGCTTCTCTTGTGTGGAGCACGGGCTCTAGGCATGCGGGTTTCAGTAGTTGTGGCATGAGGGCTCAGTAGTTGTGGCTTGCGGGCTCTAGAGCGCAGGCTGTCATTGTGGCGCACGGGCTTAGTTGCTCCGCAGCATGTGGGATCTTCCCGGACCAGGGCTCAAACCCCTGTCCCCAGCACTGGCAGGCGGATTCTTAACCGCTGAGCCACCAGGGAAGCCCAACAACTGCACTTTTAATGTAACTGTATTCTAAATTTAATAGCAAAACCGGCTACAGCTACTGGTTTGAACGTGTGGACCTAAAACACTCCAGTCTTTGTCTTCCTTGACCAGACATTTCTGAAGAAACACAAACACAAAAAGACAAATACTGTAGGATTTCACTGACAGGCAGGACCTAGGATAAGTAAATCCATGGAGACAGAAAGAGGGCAGAGGCTGGGGAGTTAGTGTTTCATGGGGACAGAGTTTCAGTTTGGGAAGATGAAAAAGTTCTGCCTGTTACACAGCATTGCCAATGTACTCAGTGCCACTGAATGGTACACTTAAAAACGGTTAAAAAGGTAAATTTTGTTTGTTCGTTTGCTATTGATGTTCACCTGTTTTATTGTGAAGCATAACACACACAGTGGATCCCCAGAAGAAGGCAGATTTCTGGTTTTGGCCGCACCCCGCCCCGCGGCATGTGGGATCCTCGTTCCCCAACCAGGGATCGAACCCGCACCCCCTGCATTGGAAGCGCGGCACCTTAACCACCGGCCCGCCAGGGAAGTCCCAATGGTAAATTGTATGTCTTGTATATTTCACCACCATAAAAAATTTTAACTCACAAAACAGACCCACAGGGAGGAGGCCACGTGACGACGGAGGTGGAGACCAAGGTGATGCTCCCAGGAGCCAAGGAAGCCACCAGGAACTGGGAGAGGGCCTGGGACACATTCTCCCACCAAGAGCCCAAGAGACAGCCCACCCTGCGGTCACCTGGATCTCAGACGCCCAGAACCGCAACTTCAGCTGTTTCAACCCCCCCCCACCCCCCACCCGGAGGAGGGGCCTGAACCAGAGCTGCGCCGGCCCCTCAGCCCTGCAGCTCCAGACCCTCATCCCGCCCGCCCTGCAGGCCCGGCTGCGGCGTCCAGCCGGCTCCAGCCTTTTCTGCACCACTCGCCTCTGATTTCCACTAAGCCTCTATTTTAATTCCTCCTCAGCCTCCCATTTTTAGAGTTAATTACACAGCTCCTAACCATAATGGCAGCCGGCAAGGCCAGGCTTCCCTTGGGGGCTCAGGCGGGGCGGGCGACCCGTGTGCACAGTGTCTGCCCGGCCTGGTCCCACCCCCACTGTGGCCACTCGGGCCCCTCACCTTCCAGAACCGCTCCCTGTGTGGTCTGGGCCCACCCCAGGCTGGCGGCGGACAACAGCCGCACAGACTTGGACCGCAGGGAAAGGGGCACGGCAGGACTGGGAGAAAGCACCCGGGCCGGCAGCGGTTCACGGGTGCCTGTGCGCCTGGCACTGCGCTGCAGCCTCTGCCCTCCCTCCAGGAATTCACCCCATTTCACAGGTAAGGTAACTGACGCCCAGGCAGTGGAGAACTTTGGCTCCAGATTAGAAGGTGGTCAAGCCAAGAGTTGAACCCACGTGTGCTTCCAGAGTGGTGAAGGCCCTTTGAGAGGATGGGGCCTACCTCCAGGATGCCCTGAGTCCTGGGTCCCCCTTGTCCGGTGTGCTTACCAACAGCATCCCTTTCACTCCCATAAGTGGCCCCGTTTGAATAAGGGATATGGTCACCGTCTCCCTCATTGTACAATTAGGGAAACTGAGGCCC